AGAAATGAAAACCAGTCCATACCCTCAAGGAAATGTATGGTACCCAACTTGGGTTAATGCCAGGGTGGGGGTGTGCAAAGGTGATCTGAGATGTTAGAAGGACAAGGTGTCTGTTTTAGATAGCTTTTGAGTTAATCTTCGGAGTTGTACCTAGTAATCACAATAAAGGTCCAAACCACAATGCATCTGTCTCTTCCCCCACTTACCCCATTTCTCAAAAAAGGCAGTGAATACTACTAGGTCTGTGTCCCAAAGAGATCATAAAAAAGGGGAAAGGACCTATCTGTACAAAAATATTTATAGCAGCTCTTTTTGTGACACAAAGAATTGGAAATTGAGGGGATGCCCATCAATAGGGGAATGGCTGAAGAAGTTGTGATATATGAATGTAATACTATAAGAAATGATGAGCAGGTAGACTTCAGAAAAACCTGGAAAGGTTTACAGGAACTGATGCTGAGTGAAGTGAGAAGAACCAGGAGAAAGTTGTACTTGTTGCAACTTTGTGCAGTGACCAACCTTGGTAGATTTAGCTCTTCCCACACAGTGGGAACAACACAGTGACCTAAGACAACACCAGAAAACCCATGATCAAAAATGCTATCCACATCTGGAGAAAGAACTTTTGTTCTGATTCTTCTTTCACAACATGACTAATGTGGAAATATATTTAATATGATTGTATGTGTATAGCCTATATCAGATTGCATGCTGCCTTGGGAGAGGATTGGAACTGAAAATCTTAAAAATGAATGTTGAAAACTAAAAATAAATAAATTTAAAGAAGAGAAGGCAGTGAATAGAATAGGCTGAGAGATGACTACTTTTCCCAGTGCCTCTCAGTGTTGGTAGCTATACCAGCTTGTCTCAGTTCTTTCTGACTCCAGGTCCAACACTATCCACTACACCACTCCAGAAACTGGCTTCTTTCTGTCCCCTCCATTGAAACTTTTTTCCCCAAGGTCATCAATGATTTCTTAATCATCAAATACAGTGAACATTTTTTCAGTCTCTTCTCTGTGACATGCTGGCTGCTCTTTCAAATTGTCTTCCATCTGACTTTGGCTTCAGAGGTGTCAATACTTCCTAGGTTGACCTTTATGACAAGTTATTGATGGTTTCTCAAGAATGTGCTTCAGTGCATTTCTCTCCACTCCCCTTCTTGGCAGTCTCACTCTCATGGCTTCAACCGGTCTTTACTGGACAACTCCCAAACTTTTCCAACTCTAAGACTTTGGCTTCAGGTAGCATCTTTTACCAAATTTAGAGAAATTGAGAAGGATGCTACTTGCAAAGAAACAGGGAGGAATTAAAACAATAGATTTCCTTTGCCTGTGCTTGCTGCATGTGTACCAAAGAAAGTATGGCCAACCTCCAGAAGCCACTTCAAGTGTAATTTGCAATATTCCAAGGTTATTTAGCTGATCACCTTAAGATAACCTACTCCTGTTAACAATACCTTCCTGAATGCTTTAAAAAAAAATTCCATTCTGGAAAAATTCCATTAAAAAAATTCCATTCTGGGGAAAAATCAGTTTATTAGAGAAATTTTTCTACCATGTGTTTAGGACCCAAACTGGAGAATTGTCTGGTAGCTCAGAACTTTCATAAGACCACAGATCTAGAGCTGAATAGACCCTAAAGGGCTGGTGCCCCCTCATTTTACAGGTGAGGAAACTGAGTACCAGAGAAGGAAAATTAATTGCCCAGGGCCATGAAGCTAGTAAGTTTTGTTTTTTGTTTTGTTTTGTTTTGTTTTTTGCTAGGCAGTGGGGTTAAGTGATTTGCCCAGGGTCACACAGCTAGTAAGTGTCAAATGTCAGACCAGATTTGAACTCAGGTCCTCCTGATTCCAGGGAGCTCTATCCACTGTGCCACCTAGCTGCCCCCAACTAGTTTTGTTTTGTTTTGTTGTAGGCAATTGGGGTTAAGTGATTTGCCCAGGGTCACACAGCTAGTAAGTGTCAAGTGTTTGGTCTGAGTCCGGATCTGAACTCCAGTCCTCCTGACTTCAGGTCCAATACTCTATCCACTGCATCACCTAGCTGCTCCTCCCAACTAGTTTTGAACCCACATCTCTCACAACTCTCAGGCCAATGTTCCTTCCTTTATACCTCACTAAGTCCCTTTAAGAGATTTAGATCAATCAATCAGTAAATGAGATCATAGGCTTTAAAAATGGAAGGGACTTGAGAGGTCAGTCCAAACCTCTTATTTTACAGGTTAGGAAGGTAAGACCCAGAGAGGTGAAGCATCTTATGTAAGGTCACTCAGGTACTATGTAGGAGAGCAGGGATTCAGATCTATCCTTCTACTATACCACATGACAAACTTAGAACATCATTTGTGGAAACACTAACCCTCTGAGGTTCTCAAATGGAAGTAGGCGTATAATAAATGCTCATTCATCGACTCACGAATAGTTCGAACAATGTTTTCATTGAGCTGGAAGGAATGACTATATTTTACATAATTATAACTTCAAATGGTGTACATTTGAATATATGTGGCCACTTCAAGGGGATTCATTATTAACACTAATCCGGTCCTAGCAATGATCACAACCCAGTTGGTTCATTTTATTTTTTTTTTGTCCCAGTAACTTGTTACAGTTTAAATAGATGTGACAGCCCAACTCCTTGTCTGATCATGACTTTCTTAAATGAAGTTTCTTAGGTCATTTGTTGCATGCAAATTTTTGCAGGCAAAACACTGTAGCCCATTGTTCTTTATATATAAGAATTGTTTGTAGCTATCAACTTTTCTATAAAGTATTTTAAAATGTAGGTCCCAAGTTTTTTGGAATACATTAATAACCTAAAGAATGTCTGGAGGAGAATGACCAGGTTGGTGAGAGTCCTTGGGTGCTGGGGGGTGGGGCACGGGGCTGGGAGGTGTGGATTGGAGAGGATGATAGCTGTTTTCAAGTATTTAAATGGAAGACAAATCAGCCTTATGATTGGCTCCAGAAAGCAGAACTAGGAGCAATGGATGGAAGTTGCATGGTGGAAAGTGTAGGCTTGATTGAAGGAAAAACATCCCTCAATTAGAGCTCTCTAAAAGGGGTGAGCAACTTGGGCAGACCATGGGTCCCCCCTCCAGTCATTTAAGGGAAGTCTGGATTACCACTTGTCAGCTTTTGGAAACTACCGAATACCATGTTGTTGCAGAGGAAATTTTTACTAATATATTAGACAAAATGGCCTTTGAGCTCCCTTACTCAGATTCCATGACTCTGTTCCCAAAACATGTGCATTTTGCACATTTGAAAATTACTAACTTTGCTGTTGTGTGCCCTTCATTCTCAAAGAGGACCATGACATGAGGAAGATGATGCCATGACTTGAAAGTGAATTGGATTTAAGTGAGGGAGGGCTGTGCAAAGTCACCAGCCTCACTTTCTCCTCTGGAGCTATCTGTGTCCAGTGGCCAGATATGGATCA